TGCCATCTCTCATTCCTTCTATTAAGCACAGTTATAGAAATCCTAAATAGAAGAGGTAGAACACAAAATGGGAGAAAAACATCTATATTAGAAAAGGAATAAATAAAATTATTACTCTTTGCAGATGACATGGATATATTTATATATGTATATATGCATATATATATGAATGAACTTAGTAAATGTCTAGAATAAAAGAAAAGCATACAAAAACTATTTTACACTCTGTGCACTAAAAGCAAATTATCTAAAAATGAAGTAAATCATATCATCCACTACAGCATTAAGAAGAATAAAATAGTTAAGAATAATTTAACCAAGGTGTGTATATATATATATATATATATATATATATATATATATATATATATATATATATACATACATACATACATACATACCTATAAATGACATTGATAAAATAACTCAAGGAATCACATATAAATGGAAAGATATACTCATGAGCAAAAAAATGGATTTATTAAGTTGTCTGTACTACCTAAGGGAACTTATTGATTCAGTGTAATCCCTATCAAATTCCAAGAGAATTTGCCACAAAAATACAACAAAATTATTCTAAAATATATAGAGAACCATGAAAGACTCCAGAGAGCAAAGCAAAAATCCTGAGAAAGAAGAATAAACCATCGTTTACTTCCTACTTTCAAGATATAGTACAGTAGTTTTTAAATTACAGTAATTAGAATATGATATTAATGTAAAATAGATGCAAATACCCATGGCATGGAAGTTAAAACTATTCATATATGATCAGTTTACATATGATAAGAGATACAAGAACACAGTGGAGACACAATGATTGTTTCAATAAAAACACAGAGAAAACTGGTTATTTACACGTCGGAGGGTGAATTTGAACCTTAACCTCAGCCCCATCACTTTGTGTCATATAAATCAACACAAAATGGATTGAAGATGCAGATATAAATACTACACACTGCAAAACTCTTAAAAGGAAACACCGAGGAAAGTGATCCTTGACATTGGTCTTAATAATAACACCCAAAGAGCAAACAATAAAAAGCAAAAATAAATGAGTGTGGCCACATAAAACGTAAAGCTTCAGAACAGCAAATGAGCCAATCAACAATAGGAAAGGAAAGCCTGGAGAATAGAATATGTTTGTAGGCCTGAATCTAAAGATAAGTCTTTAAAATCCAAAGTAAATAAGAACTCCATACGACTCAGTAGTGAAATGGAAATAATTATATTAAAAACTAAAGGAAGGACTCATGTAGACATTTTCCCAATCAGACATACAGGTCACCAAGAAGTGTGTCAATTCACAAATGCCCTGAGAAATGCAAATCAAATCCAAAAGGAAGTAATAGTTCACACTTGCTGGGATTACTGTTATGAAAAGGACAAGTAAAAAGCATTGGTGTTGGGAGAGTATGGAGAAAAGGGAAATGGAAATAGTGTTAGAAGAAATGTAACAGGATGCAGTATCCTTAAAATATTGGAAATATAACTATTGTTTGATCTAGTAATATAGTTATAGTTTCTGAGCATATAGCTGAAGGAAGAATTTGAAAGGGGAATCAACAGTCCCATGTTCACTGCAGTCCCATTTACAATTAGTAAGACATGGTAACATCTAAGTGTCCATTAACAAAGGAGTAACTTAGAAGGTGACTCTAAGACAGAAAAGAAAAAATACTGCATGTTCTCTCTTTCTCCATTTCCCTGTCTCTCTGTCTCCACCCCCCATCCCCACCCCCCGCCGCCGCCACCGCCCTTCAGCCAAATCAAGAGAAGCAGAGCAGAATGAACGGTGGTTGTAAGGGGCTGGAAAATAAGAAAATGGGAAACTGTTGCTCAAAAAGTAGAAATCAAATCACTGTTAAATGTAATTGCATGCACGTTTTTGAGAACCCACTATAATTCGAGTTTATGTACAGGAGAGCAATAGCATCCATGTTGAACATGCAGGCAGTCTTTATTTCTCAGATACAGATCTAACAGCTGCTTTGCACACTGCAAACTTTAATATACACCTTCACTTTACAGAAAATGTAGGGAGTCGTCAAAGAAATGACCAAGAAATAAACACAAGCCCTAGAGGAATAATTTTATCATCAATCTGGCTAACCTGTTTCATAGTTTCATACCCTTGAGCAAGGCATATGTGAGAAAAGAAAGGATTTGGCTGGTAAATTGTAAGACAGAAATAATTGCTATTTTGCTACATTTATTTAGAATGCCCTTTCAAGGAACTTGGGTCTGCAGCATCATTGACTATAGTAAAGCACTTAAAATACAAGAAACCATGTGTTCAAAATTAAAGAGAGCAGAATGAATTTTTTTATGCAGTTTGACAAAAGTTTTAGGAAATTACAATGACCAGGCATGACCTCTGATATGATGGAAATTTTTATTTTTAGTAGGAAGTGGATATTTGTCAATTAGTAACATTGGTAATTGTCCATTATAAACAGTGATGGAAAATCACAGGCAATGATGGAAAATTACAAGCAGTTTTGAGATCATAAATGTATAACCTATTATAGTGACAAGTGAATGAGAGAATGTCAGAAGTGACACTGAATTGGTGATTTTATGGAATTGAACTACAGAAACTCTAAATGAGGCAGAGGAACCCACGTAAGCATTAGTCTCCTGGAGAGAAGTATAGCACCAGAGAGTGAAAGGAGGCAAGCATAGGGTGAGGCAGAGGACTTGTAGCTAAAGGAGGCTGGGAGAAAGGTAGTCCCAGCAATGGGCAGGGCCTTGTGCTCTGTATTCAGTATAGCTCCTTTTACTATGAGAAGAGAAGGAAACCATTAAGAGAGTTTAAACAAACAAACAAACAAAAAAGCAGCAAGACCAGGGTTTCTTTGCAAAAGAAAAAGAAATTCTTGGTGCTATATTGAGAATGGTCTGAAGAGCAAGGGATAAGAAAGATGTGGACAGAATAGTTAAGAGGCTTGGGGCTGGAAATATAGTTAAGTCAGAAAAATGTTTGCTGTACAAACATGAGAATATGACTTTGGATCACAGTAACCACGTAAAAAAGCTGTGTGCCACAATAAGTGCCCATAATCCTAGTGCTGATGAGGCTGAGACAGGAGGATTCCTGGTGTTTGCTGGTCAGCCAATGTAGTAGAACCAGTGAGGCCCTGTTTCAATGAGAAGTCCTGTCACAAAGGAACAAAATAATAGAGTGGAACACTATTGAGTAAGGCACCCAATCTCAACTTCTAGCCTACACACACACACACAGAGAGAGAGAGAGAGAGAGAGAGAGAGAGAGA